AAATTCATAGGGCTCTGACTGAAGCAATGTAAAATTGTTCTGGAGGGACATTATTAAAATCTAGAATTTAAAAGATTTTCACGAGAGAACTCTTAATGAAGATGAACTATAAATAAAAATTTACACGCCATGACAAAAATAAACCACCATGAGAAAGTGTTTGTTTATACAACAAAAGAAAAATGGCAACCCCAAAACAGAACATGCTAGAATAATTTTATATAAGCATGCTTACAATAATTAAAGAAGCAAGGGAAGGTAAAGAAATCACAATAGATAAAAAGGGGAGTTTAAGATAAGAGAAAGATTTGTGAAAGAACCAAATAAATATTTGTGAAAATATTGTCACTGGGATGAAAAATTCAATATAGATATTAAAACACTGGATTGGGAAAGATTAGGAAAGAATTAAACATAGATTTGAGGAAATCATACAGAATAAAATACAAGAAGTTGAAGAGGCACAAATCGTAAGCACAGTTAAGAGACATGGAAGACAGAATCAGAAATACCAAAATCAGAAAAAGACATAAAAGAACAGTTCAGATCAATATCCCTCATTAAAATAAAATGTCAAAATTCTTACCAATTTAAATTAAATTTAGCAATGTATAGACAAGATCATGTGACTAAATGTAGTTTATTGAGAAAATGAAAGGTGGTTCAACACTTGAAAATCAATCTTTTAGTAATCTCCATCAATAAATTAAAGTAGAAAAAAATATGATCATCTTCAGAGGTACAGAAAAAGAACTTGACAAAATGCAACATTCACTCATGATAAAAAGTCTAAGCAAACTAGAAACTAAACTTCCTTAACCTACTAAAGTGCACCTTTGAAAAATCTACAGCTAATTTCATAGTTGCTGATGAAATACCAAATGCTTTCCTCCTTAAGACTGTAAATAAGACAAGGATTTCTGCTTTCACCATTCCAATTCAGTATTGTAGTGGCAGTCTTAGCCAGTGTAATAACACTAGAAAAGAAATACAAGCCATACAAATTAGAAAGGTAGAAATAAGACTGTCTCTATTTATAGTTTCATATAGAGATTTCAAATAGGACTACCTCCATATTCATTAAGTACTTCTCAGTATTGTTAGTTATTAGTTTGGGTTATTGAGTTTATTAATATCTCATAACAATAACAGAACTCATAAGATATATTTTAAAAATCATTTATAATTCAGAAATTTAACAAATTCCTATAGGTTTCCTCACTTGAGCAGAATTACTGAATTATTTTAGTTACCTTTTCTTCTGAAAACTCTTTTATGCCCTCTGCTGTCCATTTATTGAACATAAATCATTAAATTATTCATTGACATTTACATTTAGATGATACGAAATCCTCCAACCATTTGATTCTTTGAGTCAGTCTTAGGAAATAATATATGCTAAGAAATGCTTTAAAAATTTGCTTTTATCATAAATGTAATATATATTCATACTGATAACACACACAAAAATAAAGTAACTGCTCATAATACCACTGCTTAGAGATAACCACTGTAAAGGGTATTTATACTTCTGGAATTTTTTCTATGCTGCATAATTTTACATTAAAATTGTTATTATTATTATTACAGAATTGAGAACACACTATACATACAATTTGGTATTTACTCTTTTCACTTAAATTTTATTATGGAACATTTTCCATAATAAATATCATTGACTCATCTTCAAAATATAATGTTTAAATTGTTATACAATATTCCAGATATATACTAGTTTATGCAATACCTTCTTATTTGGGGGCATTTAAATTGATGCAACTATTTGCTATTATAAGTAACCCTGTAAAACAAAATTCCTTGAACAACCTTAATTTTATGCTTACATCTCAAAAAGTACAATTTCTGGGTCATAGATAAACATATTTTAAGGGGTTTTCATGCTTATGGCTGAACTCTAAAAAGTTTGTACTAATTTTCACTCCCACAGGAAGTATATGCTCATGGCCACAGAAATGGTTTTTAAAACTGAGGATATAAAAACATCTTACAAATAAATTCTAAATAAGGAGGAAAAGTTATATATGATTATTTATGAGGTGAATAATTTATTTTTTTCTTCAAAGGTGTCAGGAAAATAGAAGGACCTTCTTGTAGAATGATAAGAAGGGCAACTCTTCTAATTGCTTAATCTTAATGTTTCTTAATATGTTTCCTCATCTAAAATGTAAGAAGAATAATTGCCTGCTAAACAAAGAGTATTTTGTGAGGATACAGTGAGATGATACATGTGGACATGTTTTGATAACTATATCACATGGATGGAAGGAACGATATTTATTAATCACTACTGACATGTGGAACGGTTTGATACTGGTTTTTGTTTTTGTTTTGAGCAGGGTTGTCACCTGTTGCTCAGGTTGGAATGCAGTGGCATGATCACAGGCTTACTTCAACCTTGACCTCCTGGGCTCAGGCGATCCTTCCACGTCAGTCTCCTGAGTAGCTGGTACTACAGGCGCATGCCACCATGCCTAACTAATTTTTTGATTTTTTTGTAAAGATGAGTTCTCGCTATGTTGCCTAGGCTAGTCTCAAACACCTGGTCTCAACTAATCCTCCTGCCTCATTCTCCCAAAGTGCTGAGATTACAGGGGTGAGCCACTATGCCCAGCTGACACGTTTTTTAAGTGTCTTTAACTTTAAATATTTCATATCAATCTTAGTATCAATAGTTTTTTTTTTCCATTTTCAACCCCATTTGACTAGAAAAGTAATTTTTCAGTCAATTATTTAGTTTTGTTATTTGAAAATAATAAAATAATGTGATGCAACATAGACAATTATGGTTCAGTGGCCAATTCCATTAACTTAGTTTGTCTCAGAAAAGGAAAAATCACTAGAAACAGAATTATTTATTAAGGATTCATATTTAATCTAAAAATACCTAGTACTTCTACATCAAAATTGGGTGCATCCTCAACTTGCTTAAACCAGTTCCTTTAAAAAATTTCTTTTCAAAACTATGCCTGTGGGTTTTCATAAGAATAGATGGTTTGAAGATTAGTCTAATTAACTATGCACACATGAAACACAAAGGCAAGGATAGAACAAATATTTATTCAGTGGGCTCTTGCTGAACCTAAAAGCTAGCACCCATCATGAGTGTTTACTAAACGAAGAAGAAGGAGGGAGGAAGGACTAGGAGGACACACTATACATACAATTTGGTATTTACTCTTGTCACTTAAATTTTATTATGATAGCCGGGCTCGGTGGCTCAACCTGTAATCCTGCGCTTTGGGAGGCTGAGGTGAGTGGATTGCCTGAGCCTGCAACTTGGCGAGACCTCATCTCTACAATAAATCAAAAAAATTAGCTGGGTATGGTGGTACACGCCTGTAGTTTCAGCTATTTGGAAGGCTGAGGCGGAAGATCTCTGGAGCCCAGCAGGTCGAGGCTGCAGTGGCCAGGGGCGGCCACTGCACTCCAGTCTGGGCGACAGAGTGAGACACCAACTCAGGAAAAAAAAAAAAATGTGTTATGGAACATTTTTCATAATAAATATGGAAGAATAAAGAGGGAGGAAGGACTAGGAGGACACACTATACATACAATTTGGAGGAAAGAATAACTCAAGAAGTCACTGTATTTTTTAAAAAGATTATGGCTAGCAAAGAACCTGTGACTTGGACCCATGAGGGTTCTCAATAACTCTGGTCATTGCTCTTGGCCAAGAGCATCAATTTTTGAAGGCAATCAGTTTCAGCATTTGAATTTTCTAAAACGTCATATTTGCAGGTGTCTTGGCTAAAGAGTTTAGGAAATAATTTGTAGGAGGTAGAAGCATAGAAAGGAAGAAATCAACAAGGCAGGAAAGGAGAAAATAAATCTTTTTTTCCTTTCTCATTATTTTACTACCCGTAGAATAATAACATGTAGAAGGTAAAAGGTACCTTATCGAGTCATTTAATACAATCCTTCTTGATCTAAACGTAGGTAATATAGATAAACCAGTGGCAGAGCCAGGAAAGTAACCTGAACCCATCCCATGCTCTTTCCACCGGAACATGGTGAGTCTTTTTTTGTTTTTGTTTTTTAGTCCTAAACTTGTTTTAGTCCAGAACAAGTTCTGATCTCTCATATTTTTTTTTCTGGCAACTTAGAATCAATGTGAAGTATATTGAAATAAAAATGCAATACTTTACATGGCAATGTTGTAGACTGTACACTGCGTTCCCATCCATTTTCTTATTTGATCCTTACAGAAACCCTTTGTGGCAAGTTAAATGTCTTCATTTTAAAAGTGAGTAATTAAAACTCAAAGACGTCCAATGACTGGCATAAGGTCACTTAGGGTTAGAAAGGAGTCAGGACTCTTTCTACATTTGCTACCCCAAAAGCACCAATATGGCTCTATACTCTTGCCTGGGAATGGAGGACAGGCACCGGGCCGAACTAGTGGAGAGACGCTTGGGTGAACCATCCACGGATATTCCTAGTTTGTACCTAGTTCTCATCTTTAAAAGCGCAATTTCTTACCCCTTCCCTTGGTCCTGATTCTTATTTAGGTTCCTATTTTTTCTTTAGGTTTTGGCCTCCTGGGTTTCACTCCAAAGCTCCCCCCTCTCCAAACGAGAAGTCGCGTCCTCGGTATCCTAGGTGACCACGCAGATGACCCGTCTTTCCTTTCCGTGTTTCCCATTGGTCAGTTGGACTCTCATGTAGCCTTATTTCCCGCCCCTCCATTGGCTAATGGGCTTTAGGAAAGGGCGCGCGTCTGTCCCAGCCCAGTCGTAACACCTGCTTCGTTACTCTTTCTCCCTTGCGCGTTGCCTTCTGGGATTCGTAGTCTCTAGATCTCAAGAGCTCTTCGACGTCCAACTCCTTTAGAACTACCTATCCCGTCAGCCTTTGCGAAAGGGGCGGGCGTAGGCAAGTCCTGTTTGACTTAAGGCGGCCCAGCCGCCTAGTTGATTGACCGTGGCAAATGACCCTCCCAGTGCTGGTGTTCTAAGACCCGGCGAGAAAGTGGGGGCGCCATGCTCAGTCCCAGTTCTGGCTGGGGGCTCGGCTGCCTTTGGCTCCGTCAGCTCCGAGTGTGGGCCGGCGCTGGGCGCTGGGCTTGTGGGACTTGCCAGGCCAGGCCTTACAGCTCAAGTCGGGGCGAGCGCTGGCCCGAATCGGAGGCCGAGGTCCCTCCGCCTGGTCCGGCGCGCAGGACTCTGAAGGAGTGGACTCTCCTGGTGAGCCCGTTCGGTCGGCTCTGGTCGCGGCTCCCGTGCCATCTGGCGGTGAGACCACTGGACCCCCTCACCTACCCGGATGGCGACCGGGTGCTGGTCGCCTTGTGCAGCGTGGAGGGCGGGGCACTGGGCCTGGACAGTCTGCAGGTGGAGTACGATGAGACTCTGCAGGAGATGGCTATTGTGTCTGACACCATCGATCCCAGGGCGTCCGTGGAAGTGAACGCGCCCCTGAAGTTTGGCAAGTGAAGTAGTGAAGTTAAAATGGGTTTGGTTCCCAGGGCAAGCACAGCGAACTTCTTAAATTTGGCCGCCATGAAGTTTTAATCTGTCCCTATGGACCTGACTTTCCAAACTAATTTACAGTTGGCCCAGTTGGAAATCGCCTCTGTTCTACTCTCAGCTTCCCAGTAGACTACAATTTGCGAGACCTCATCTCTACAATAAATCAAAAAACCAGCCGGGCGCGGTAGCGCATGCCTGTAATTCCGGCTACTCGGAAGGCTGAGGCGGAAGGATCGCCGGAGCCCAGCAGGTCGAGGCTGCGGTGGCCGGGAGCGGCCGCTGCACTCCAGTCTGGGCGACCGAGTGAGACTCCAACTCAAAAAAAAAGAATTAGATCTCCAATTATAAGCATTTTATAATTCGAATGGAAACATGATCTGGAATAATCCAAGTCAAATAACATTGTGGGGTCCCTTATGTTCTCCTTTGTCACTTTGATATTAACAAATCGGCTCTTTTTCAAGGTTGAGGTTTCTTGATAATCCGTTCTACATTCCCCCTTGCTTACAGTGTGGGGGTCTGTCCCCACACAACCTTGTCTATCGGATGTTCCACATACCTCACCTGGTTTGAGAATTTGATTTCAGATAGGCACCCAGCTTCTTACTGATATGTTTCCATTCTTTTTGGCCTGAGTTCTCCACGAGTAGCAAGCTTCAAAGAAAAACACATAGTAAGACTGTCTGGAAACTTCAGTAATAATGCCTGCAAGTTTTGTTTCCTAGGTATTTGGGTTCCGTTTTACTTCCCACATGGAATGCCACTGTGCACACACTCTTTTTCTAGGAAGGGCTCACAAGGCTCTCATTCTTCCTGGGTCTGAATGATGATACTGATGATGATCATAATAGTATCACTTGGCATTTCTAATCCTTTCTAATCCTTACAGTTGCGCTTCACAGTAGATACAGGCACCAGTCCCGTATTGGTTACCTGCATCAACTGGCATTGGAAAACATTAAAATATTTTTAGGTAGAGAGAGATAGATCACATTCACGTAACTTGTATTACAATGTATTGTTACTGGACTGTAAAAATATAGTCTAGTCTCAACCAAAATATTACAGTTGCTATAAACTTTTATAGAGATTGCCATGTACTTGAAACTTGGAAATTGATTTTATGCCTTAAGTACTGAAGTTAGGGCATTAGGTCTCTATAGTTTGTGTTTGGGGCAATATAGTGTTTACTTCTCTAGTCTAGTTTAAGAAAATTCATCAATATTTATGTGAATCAGATATTAAATATCAGTGTTTTTAATTTTTTTTTACTTGTATACAGATGCCTAAGTATACAGATACATTAAATTGACAGTCAAGGATAGCATCTGTGATTCTTTATTTTCTTCATATACCAGTTATTTATCCATAGTCTTGTGATTTTAATAGTACTTCAAAGTGTTCCTATTTGTAAAAATTACTTGAAATACCTTGTGATATAGATGCATGGTAATATTTTCATTTTTTAGGTATGAAAGGTTAGAGGTAGGATTTGAAAACCTAAATCATGATCATATCTACTGGGCAAGAGGCTTCTGTGATCTTCCAGAAGTACCTATCAGAATTGCAGTCTCTTGCCTCCTTTACTTCTCATCTGTGTTACTGAGGAGCTGGATTTCTAGGGGATATTAAAATACTTCAAACTTTTCAAAGTACTAACTTGTTTTTTCTTTTTGTACTTCTAGATTTAAATATCAAGTCTTCAGGCTCTGGCTATGTAAAAGTTGAAAATATTGAGTGTGATAATTGCAAAATTGAAACTGAGCAGGGGACCTGCGTCTTGCAATCTGTTAAGGTATAAGTATTTTTTTAATTTTGTTTCAATATTTTTTTTTAACTCTTAAACTATGAACTATAGTATCAAACTAAAGAGTTTATTGTTTGTTCATCTTTTAGAAATTCCTTGCAAAAATTTTGCCTTGAAATCAGTTCTGTTTTGAATGTACAGAGGTTGTAGCAACTTTGAAGCTTTCACCTCACATTTCTTTTTTGAGTTGCAGTGGCATGCTTTACACCCCAGCATTGACCTACTGGGTACTGGGCTCCAGCGATCCTTCCACCTCAGGTTTCCAAGTAGCCAGAACTACAGGCGCATGTCCCCACACCTGGCTAATTTTTTGACTTATTTTATAGACGAGGTCTCACCATGCTGCCCAGGCTGGTCTCAAACCCGTGGCTCAGGCAATCCTCTTGCTTCGGCCTCCCAAAGTGCTGGGACTGTAGGCTGAAACCATTGCGCCTGGCTCACCTTTCTTGCAGATTTCATTTCAAAGTGTACATGAAACTAATAGTATATTCTTGGTATTCTGAGGTTATGAAATTAAAGATATTTTATTTTTCATGAATGATTTTCTTCTATTTATTAAAGAATAAGTTATGGAAAAGTCTTTATGTACTATAAGTGTGCATAAAATATTAGGTTACTTTAATCACATTTTTAATGTATCAAGCAGCTCATTACCTAAGGGCTAACTAGCTAGTTGTGCAAAAAAAAATAAGTGACACATCTTGTTTTGTAATTAACATTTTTATATTTAATTTTCTTAAAATTAGATTGGCCTCAGATGAAAAAGCTTTGAACTATGTCTCTGACAGTTTCCAGCTTATTATTACTCGTAGTCCTTCTTGTATTTACATAGTCAAAACACAATACTTTGGAAAACTTTCATAGTATGTAATTTTGTTGAAGAGAAGTCACTCATTTTTCCTTCATAACTGCAAAACACTTCCATTTTTAGATTTATAAACACTAATTAGAAGGATTAATTTGATGCATTTTTTTTATTCTTACATCACGCTTTCTTTTATCTAACTTTATTTGCATGCCTGTCTTCAACATCTGTCCGCATGTGAACCATTTCAAATAAATTTAGTTGCACAAACATAAAAAAAAAATTAAGAATACTGTCACATGTCCTTTTAGCAAAATGAGTTGGTTCAGGTTCTTGTAAAAGATTGTGCAGTGAAGTCTTCGTGTTGAATGACTAACTGGATTAGAATACCATAGTTCCTTTTGTCCTTAGAAATATATTGCTCGGTCATTGATGCTTGAGTTTCAGAAATGAATCCAGAATATTATCCTCTGAAGATTCAGAGTTTTGAGATTCCCATTTTTACAATCAAAACTGTAATCTAGTATACTGCTGCCTGTTGGTTTTTTTTTTTTTTGCATTCACCTTTTGATTTATATAATAATTCTGAAAAATTCTTGTCAGTTTTCTTTTTTGCCATTATAGGCATAAAATAAAAAATGATTTCTCAATTTTGGGACTATTGACATTTTGGGTCAGATAATTATTTGTTGTTGGGGCTGTCCTATGAGTTCAGGCTTAGCACCATCTCTAGCTTCTACCTTTAGATGCCAGTATCATGTTTCTCAGTTGTGACAAGGAAAAACGTCTCCAAACTTTGATATGTCTGGGGGACAGAATCATTTTCAGTTGAGAACCACTGTTCTAGACCAGTGCACCTTTGTTTTATTTTCTTATTATTTTAGTCTTTTTTAAAAAGCATGGTTGGGAATAACTGACAAATAATGATGAAATGACTCCTAGGATGATGAAGTGGTAAAATGTTATAAGACATATGAAAAATAAGAACACCATTATCTCATAATGTATTTTACATTTATTAGAGTTCAGTGGGCTAATATGGTGATTTCAAGATAGAGTAAGTTTTATTTTATTTTTTAAAAGTCAGTACATGTTCTAATCATTATTTGAAAGACTGCTAAGATGGGCCTTAAACAATTATCATAATACCATAAGAAAGGGATTGGCAGTAGGGGGAAACTGCCCAGGGTGAGGGGGCATACCTCATCAACAAGGTACCTGCATAATGAACATTTGTATACCTAACCCTGAATTGTACCCCACATCTTTAAAAAAATAAAGACTGCTAAGAAAGAGAAAAGGTCATGAAATATCAGAACTTACAAATAAAATAGTTCAAAAAAGAAATTCAAGATCTAAAATTGGGCCTGTGGATCCTAATGGCATACCAAGGGTTAAAAAAGTTATTCTTGAGATCTTAGGATTTATCTGACTTACACTCACAAATGAGAATACTTTGGTAAAATAACTGGTTGAAGTTTGAAATATGGTATGATATCATTATCTTGAATTACTAATCATCTGTTAATATAATTTTCTCTTTCACTTATTTTAAGGACTTGAAATATAGTTGATCAATGTGATAAACTTTTTATAACAATAATTAACTTCTGTTAGTGAGTCTTTATGTATCAGAAATCTTAGCTAAACCTTCATTTAATCCTTGAATTATCTTCATTCTATTAAGGAAGACTAGGAAGTTGAGAAACTCACAAGTTCACACATCTAAAATAAGTGAGCTTGGATTTGATCTCGGGTTTTTCTGATTTCCAGGCTCATGCTCTTTTTCCTTTCTTTACTGTATAATCAAAACATATGGCAACACCACATTTATTCACCATTCTTAGGGAATAAGGTAAGTACATTTTTTTAGGCAACAGACCCTTAACTAATGGAATGTCACACATTTATTTGCAGTTTTTAATGCAGTATAATAATTTTCTTTTCTAGAGAATTTCTGAATTCTTTAAACATTAGCTATTTGGTTTTATATTTTTAAAATTTTCTAATCTACTTTACATTTTTGAGGAATTAGATGAGCTTTAAATGATAACAGTAGCTCTTACTATTTTTGACCTTTAGAGCTCTTGAAAAATCTGATGATTGTCTCCTTAAGAAAAAAATGAACATTTATAAAAAGTTTTGCATACAATTTCATAAGTTTCATAGATTTTCTAATATTCATGTAATCTTGGTTAAGAACTCTTGGTTTAACAACAGGTGCTTTGGGGATAGTCTTTTCTAAAGTTCATCAATTATTTGTTTGATACAGTGTATATTAAATATAATTTTATTTGAGACTCATGTCTCTACGGGCTTGAAGTAGTTAGCCATGCTATAACATAAATGTTTTAAGAATGATTCATTTTGCCCTTTACACTAAATTTTTATAAACTTATTCTTGGTCTATTTTATCTAAGCTTTTACTATTATTTCTCCTAGGTAAAATAACCAGAAGCTATATGATTTTTTTGAATTTTTGTCTCCCTACTTTTTAGACACTTCTCTGCAGTTGATGATCATCATATTGGTGCGTTTACTTTTACTAGTTTTTTTCTGCGACAGCTTCTACCATTTACTTATCCATTTTTAATTGTAGCAGAATTGAAGACATATGTAATGATTAAGGGAAAATAAACTATTCTAAAAAAATAGACCAAGCATCTAATGGCTCACATACAATTACAGTTTATTTCTCACTTGTATCCAAGTGTGTGAGTGGCTCTTTTTCGTTCAGTGATTCTAGATTCCTTCATCTTCTTGCTCTACCATCTCTTAGATCCTTGTTATAATCTGCACATACCAGTGGAAGGGCAAGAGCACATGGAAGATACACCTATTCTTCTAAAAACACCAACCTGGAAATGGCACATAGCATTTCCACTTACATTCTATTAGTAAGAACTTAAAAACGTCTAAGAGGAAAAGGAAGCTGGAGAGTGTGGTCCTGCCATGAACCAAACAATACTGCTTTTACTTCAGGAAAAAATGGATTTTGGTGGCCTAACAGTAGTGTCTGCCACAGTTGCCAAGTGTGAAATCAAGTCACAGACACACATATACACACGTTTGTTGTTGTCTGGCATATGACTGGCTTGTGGTTACTGGTTTATTTGTGCTTGGAGGCATTTATACTTAGTGCCAGATTCTGGGGTATGTTGTGCTAAAAGGCTTAACCTAAGTATATTAGCTACTACTCTGGGTATATTCTTTCCTTCAGATCACTTCAACCTTAATAGTCTGGCCTTTGGAATCATACACAACTTGATTCTAATTGTCAGTTTAGGTTTTGTTATTTTTTAACTGTCACCCTGATAGTTATTTAACCTTTTTCGGGTCTTCCTCTGTCAAATGGGAAAAATGTAACATCTATCTCTCTGGGCTGTTGTGAGGATTAAATGATAGTTCATGTAAAGTAGGTGACGTTGTGTCTGAGAACATACCCAGTAAGGGATGATTATTGCTATTAATAATGATGAATAATAACAGTGATAATAGTTGTCATCCTCCCCATCGCTGATATTTAGTTAGCTGGTTACAGTAATTTTTTATTCTCAAGCCTTTCTTCAGTGAAGAAGTTGGAATACCCCAATAGCTCTTCTTTTTTCTTTGAGTCTAGGTGGCTTATTTAATCCCTTAAATAGCAGTTGACTTATTTTTTTCCAGTTTGACATCATTATTCCAAACAGTGAGTTTTTATTTAACTCCCGATTCTTCTTTTGCTGCTTTATTATTAATAATAAAGACATGTTGAAAATGTTTTATTAATATAAGTAAAACTTATTCTCTCTTTTTCTCTGTATATATTTGTCTTTCAGAGTCAAAACTTACATGTTCAAACAAAAGGAGGCAAAGTGATCTGTCTGGGAACAGTTTATGGAAATACAGATATTCATGCATCAGATAAAAGTGTAAGATTAAAACGTTATTTTTTGTTAGTAATTACAATTTTGCTTCCATTTGTCTTACAGAGTGGATAGGTTCAACAAAGTCTGTGGTGTAACATTCCCTTTTAATGCACTTTAGTTCATTAGTAAACTCAAATTTGAAATTGAAGTGATTAAATATTAGACAATTTAAGTTGTAGTTTGTGGTTTAATATCTTGACAGTTTTTAGTTCCTAATCTGGAATCAATACAAAGTTAAATGCTTAATACTTAATTCTAGTTCTGAAAAGATTTTTATTTTTATGATCATAAACTAAATAGGCCATTAAGTAATACTACCAATATCTAGATTGGGTTTTTCTTATGCATTAGGTTTATTTGAGTATTTTCTAAGACCTGTTTACTTTGCCCTTAGGAAAACTGAAGTATAAGTTTCAAAACTCAATTTTCTTCAGTATTTTCCACAAGATGGCATCATTAGATAGCTTTACTGCTCTCTAAAAGCTTTTTCAGTAGCCATCATGATTGTAGTTGATGTAGGAAGATAGTTTGTATTTTTTAATTAACTTATTTTGTTGCTTTTCATGATTTAGCATAGTATTAAGAGTAAAGGCATAATTTTAGAAGTATACATTGTCAGTTTTTAAAATGTGATCAGTTTTTAAAAGTTTTTTCTCCTGGAGAAAAATTGAATTCTCCTTTTATTTTACACTTATATCACTTCAAGAATCTAGTTTTATATATAAATTTTGCTAAATTCCATAGTCATCTTTGTTCTCAAATAATTGGTATGGAAGAGTTGTGAGGCTGTTTTGTAGGTAAATTATTGTTGGCATAATTAAATAAGTGAGACTACAATAGTAATTTTTCTGCTGTTATCACTTTTATCTTCTATCACCTTTCTCCTAGAACCTGTGGGAGTCTGTTTAAACCCAAACATTTAAATATGTCCTTTTAATTAGGCTAGAAAAGTGTTGAAAGACACTGTGTGGCCTTATGTAGCAACCCTTTTGAGACAGCATTTAATTTCTGATTGGAGTTAAAAGAATAAAATTAGACAAGTTTGCAGTTCTTCAAATTCAGTTATTTAAATGATGGCCAATGTTATCTGAAATGATCTAAGTTACCAGACTATTGTATATTTATATTCAAATATAAGTATCAAATAATTTAAATTATATCTCAATTATTTTCTGTTTTGAATATTTTTGGCACTGTTTTCTTTCATTATTTGTTCCAACTTTTATGGTTTATTAGACATTTATTTATTCCTACTTTCTATTGCACTACTTTATTTCTTACCTGATTGAGTTTTGTGATGTACTAAAGAATCAGTTTACATATTTTTTCTATTTTTACTATATATAGTGTTAATTTTCAATGCACATTTCTAAGTTTGTGATTAAAAAACATATAATACTTATGAAACTTGTTAACTTTTATCTGTTAATATATTAACTTTCTTAGAAATGTGCTTTGGCTATTTGAGAGACTGCATAGTGAATTAGTTAAGTGCACAGAATTGATAACCAAACTACCTGTGTTTGAATCCTGGCTCAGCCATTTACTAACTTGGTAACTTTGAACAAGTTATTTAATCTCTGTGTGTCTCAGTTTTTTGGAAAGTGGGATAGTAGTAATAGACCTAACTCAAAGGACTATTAAAAGAGTTAAGTGTGTTATACAGGTAAAACACTGCCTGGTACATAGCTAATGCTCGTATAATGCTTACAATGATGATGATGATGGTGATGAAGAAGATAAAGGAATTAATTACAGGAAAGATAGCTTGGCCAGTTCTAGATCTACCAGTTAGTTTCCCTGAGACTCAGTTTCATTATTCAGAAAATAGATTTGGTAGCGTTTGCTTTGTCTACTCAATAAGATTGTTAGAATCAAATGAGCACTATGAATAATAGCATTATTGTTTACTTGGATGTTTTTAAATTCTATCATTAATTTCAGTATTCTATATTTATCTTTATAACTTAACAGAGGATGTAGAAATCTATTTCATCTCACTGGTGAATTGATGTCATAATTGTCAGTTTTTCTCTTTCTTAGGCTATAAAGCCATAGTACATCCTTAAAACTTAGTTTTCATTATTTGTATGAACTATATGTAATATAGTTATTCATAATAATTAAGTTTCTGAAAAAATTTCCTTTCCTATAGAAAAATAAAATTAATTTATAGCAGTACCTCTGTTGGGAAGATACTGTTTTCAGATCTACTTTTTGTTCTTTAAATAGCTAAATTTTCATTTTGTTCAGTGGAAAACTACTGTCTTATTAGATGTAAAGTGGAAAAGTTCTAGAAATAATAGTATATTTGCTACATTAACTTACTAAAGGAGAAAAACCATGACACCACAATAGAGTCAGGTAAAGTATGTGCTAAAATTCAAAACAATTTCATGATTTAAATAATAATAAAACAAGTTTGAAATAGAAGGGAACCTCCTTAATCTGATAAAAGTGATCTATAACAGGCATCTTGCTGAATGGTGAAATGCTGTCAGCTTTTCTTCTGAGAACAGGAATAAGATCAGGATACGATCCAATTGCTTCTATTAGCTGTTAGCCACCATTGAATAGGAAGCCTGAACCAGATAGTTAAGGCACGAAAAAAAGAAAAAAAACAAAACAAAACAGGAAAAACGTATTTCTATAAGAATTGGAAGAGAAGAAATGAAGTTATCACTTGTAGACAATATAATTATGCATGTAGAATTTTTTTTTTTTCTTTTGAGTTGGTATCTCACTCAGGTTGGAGTGCAGTGGCACCATCACAGCTCATTGCAGCCCTGACCTCCTGGGCTCAGGCAATTCTTTTGCCTCAGCCTCCTGAGTACCCGGGACTACAGGTGTGCCCCACCACACCCAGCTAATTTTTTTTTTTTTTCCCTGTAGAGACAAAGTCTCGTTATGTTGTCTGTTCTGGTCTTGAACTCTGGGGTCAAACAATCTTTTCACCTTGACCTCCAAAGTTGTGGGATTACAGACTTGAGCGACTATGCCTGGCCAAATTTTTAAATTTAGATAATTAGAATTAGTGAGTTTAATTAGGGTGTTGGATTAAGATAAAATATAAAAGTCAATTAAGATAAAGTGAAATTTGAAAAGATAACTTGTATAGTAGCACTTGAAAGTAATAAAAATCCAAGAAAAGATGAAGAATTCTACATAGAAACTATAAAACATTATTAGAGAAATTTTAAAAGACCTAAATAAATGGAAGGATATGTTGGGTCTATTTCACATTCTACAGAGTATGCACTGTTGCTCACAATCTTGTAATTAGAGCTAAAGAATCAGATTCAATGAAGTGATTGCGTACTAAATTGTACCTTTTTTATGTAGTTACCCACTAATTCCATAGGTACCATTTTGGGTTTTCACCAGTCTTTGTTTTATAATGAACTGATTAGAGTCTTTCTCTTACTAGATTGTGATGGTAGATAAACTGCAGGGAAGTTCTGTTAATATATCCACTGAAGATGGTTTGCTGAGAGCCAAGTATCTTTATACAGAATCGTCACTTCTATCTTCTGCTGCTGGGGATATTACGTTAGGAAGTGTTCATGGTAAGCTGACAAAGTCCCCATAATCTCAGACTTTCCACATAGCATAAATTTTAAGAGATGACTCTTCCTCTGAAGCAGAAAAGGGATCAGGAAACTGGCCTTATAAATAATTAACTTCAGACTAACTATGTTTAAAAGAAAAACCATAAAAATAAAATGACTCATGAGCTAATTTAATTTTATTTTGGCGAGAAAGTAAAGATTATGCTGTTATATATGAAGCTACAGTAATTCTTATTTTTAATGCATTTTCTTATAATAGCAAGGGAACATATGCAGGAAGTGAAGTAAAGCAGTGTTAGGAAAAGATGGATTTTGAGTGGTTGCTTTTATGTTATGATAGGAAAGCTTAGGGTTAAATTAATGAAACATTTGGGTGAAATCTAATTTTAGCAACTCAGTGGTACTAATATTGGTTTAAAATGCTTTGCGTGCATTTATACTGGTACCAGGTTTCTCAGCACCCTGTTAAATTTCAGTTTTCTTTGAATAAATATCCTGTTGTGATTTCTAAAACATGTCTCTGCAGACAAGTAATATTCTTATAGTTAATGTCTGTATTATTGAAAGAAAAGAAGAGAATGTAATGGTGAGATAATGTGGCAGAGTTCATGCTGGTGTTCAGTGTCACTCAGCCTGCTTCTTAAATTTCCACAGAGCAGATGGTTCAAATCCAGGTATGTTTTCTGAAATATATACAGATAGAATTAAGAATCACTTATCCTGGCAATAAATACAGTATATACACATCTGCTAAATGCCTCTTGGATCATATTCCAGGAAGTACAGCTTTGGACTTGTTCCAAGTACAGCTCTTTCATTTCACTTCTATGGTAAAGTTGAATATTGGTATCTATACACTTTGGCAAAACCCTCAGAGTTTTGTAGTGAGCATAAATTATTAAGTGATATTAGAAAACTTGGTTAGTGCTAGCCATGCTGTATAGCGAATTGGCAAATAGTCTTCTAGTTAAAAAAAAAAATCTTAAAAAGAAAGTATTTGTATACTTAAAATAATTCTTGAGCCTCAACTTAATGGTTAAACCGCAAGCATTCTTGCTAGGTTAAGGTATTATTGGAGCCCCAAATAGCTTGAGTACAAGTAGAACTATAACCAGACAAAGCAAATGTTTTTGTTACTTTTTCATTTATTCATTTTTTAATTCAGTTGTACCTTAAATAGTTCTGGTTATTTGTAGCTCTTCATATTCCAAAAGTGACTTTTATATATGCATTGCATTTCTAACTATGCTAATCATAGTGAAAAGTATTGTACTTAACATGCTCAGTATTAAGCTTTTAGTGGAAAAAAAATTCCTTATCAAGTCAGATGTTGATTCACGTTCATGGGAAAGGCAGCTCTGTTCTCTGTGGTGTTTCATACCGTGTATACACTAAATTCATTATCTAATATCTTTGCTTTCTTTTAAGTTAGATAAGGATTGAATTTGGTACAGTTTATCATCAATCACACTCATGAGAGTAAAACAGGTATACTGTTTTGAAGCAATTCTCAAAGTACCCTAGGTCTGTTGAGTAAGTAACTGAAATGGAAATAAATTGCTAGGTATGAAAGAGTTAATTCCTTAGCCTTTGTAAAGCCTTTTTAATATTTACTGACCTTTGATATGATGTCAGACTTCAGATACCCTTCCTTAGGTGGTTTAAACTTAGGTCCTCTTTTGGGCTATTGTTTCAGGTTGGATTTCTCTGAAAGCAGACATTGTGAGGTGGAAATTAGAGTGTAACAAATTTACTAGGGAGGCCTCTTGGGACCAATGCCAGGTAAAGGAAGGAAGCTCGATTTCCATGGGAGAAGTTGGATTGTGATGCTGTTTCACTAACCCCCAGCAGGGAGCGCTGAAGCTGGGATGGTCCCTCAGAGTTGTCTGAAGTTGGGGTAAGGAGTGGGCCTTTATATCTCCAATCATTGGATACAAGGAATCCCAGGAGGGAGTGCAGTCTTGAGCCAAGGTGGCTCTCTTGTTGAGGCCATTTCTAAACAGGGCTGAACAACTGAGGGCTGTCTGCCAGCAATACTCCCAAGAGCTAGGAAAATAGCACTTCAGTTCTGATGGAGGATCTGGATGAGGAATTATAGCATCTTGCTGCAGTTACATTTATTATTCATTCAACACATTTATTGACCACCTACTGTGTGCCAGATTTCCAGGCATCAAGGATGTAGAGGTGGGCAGGATATGAAACCTATCCTTAAAGAACTCACAATATAGAAGAAAAAGGAAATATCCTTTCTTCCTTATTTTCTTAGTCACTACCATCCCCACTGGGATGCTACCTCCCACCTTATTTCTAATTGTTGGTCATTATCACCCTGCCTCAATGCAATGAACTCTTTTAGCTGTTTCTCACAGCTCCTTTTGTAATACTAGTACTGCACTGAGAAGGTGTAGGTAAAGGGAAAATATCCAATTTCAAATTACAGTTATTTTCACAGAAGTAAATGTAGAACAACTTCCAATGATGATTCAACCTTGCTTTCCCTGTTTAGTCTTTGGTCCTCACTCTGCTTTGGTGTTTCAGTATACACAAGAGAGAAATAAGAAAAAACGCTGGCTCTCCATTCCTTACCACTATTTTTAAAATCACCCTTCAGACAAGTGTAAACTTTTTGCCCCCTTCTCCCTCATCACCTCTATTTCCATCCTTGTCCTAAGGTGTTATATGAATATACTACTGGAGTTTGGAGTTTGGGGGTGGGATGGGTACAGTAGAGCAGGCAATGTTTTAGTCCCACATCCTGGTTGGTGAGAAAGTTAGACTCATGACTAGTCCCAGTGTTCTAGCTATGGACTGATATCTCCCAAGAATCTTCCCAAGCTGGAACTCTGGATATATTTTTCAGCGAATTCTTTGTTCTAAATGCTAATGGTTGTATAACACAATTATATATATATAGAGAGAGACTATATTTAAACAAACTGGCTTGGAAATCTTACAGCCTGTTTTTAATGGGAAAATTTGTTGCTACTTCTAAACTTTTTTTCTTTTAACTTTTAATTTTTTTTAAAATTGTGGGTACAATTTAGGGTTAGGTATACAAGTATTCTTGTGCAGGTACCCTTGTTGATGAGGTGTGCACCCTCTTCCCCAGGCAGATTTCGACAACTGTCAATTCCACCTCCCCACCCCCTTCCCCCTGCTGTTTCCTGCTACTGTCAATCCTTTTCTTAAAGTATTACAGTAGTTGTTCAGTGTCTACTTATGAGTGAGAACTTATGAGTGAGAACTCAGTTCTTTGTTTCTCTGAAAGATCACTCAGTACTATAGACTCTAAGTCCATCCAGGTTGCTGCAAAGTTCATGATTTTGTTCCTCTTTATGGCTGCGTAATATTTCATTGTGTATATGTACCATATTTTTTTATCCAGTCTTTTGATGGGCAGCACGGTTGGTTCCATGTTCTTGCTATTGTGAACAATGCGATAAACATACGTGTGCAAGTATCTTTTTATAGAGTGATTTGAGTTCTTCTGGGTATATTCCTAGTAGGGGGATTGCAGGGTCATATGGAAGATGGATTTTTAGAACTTTTAGGAATCGCCACACTGATTTCCACAGAGGCTGTACTAGTTTACTCTTCCACCAACAGTGTAGAAGTATTCTCCTTTCACCACATCCTCTTCAGCATCTGTTGTTTTTTGAGTTACTGATGATGGCCATTCTGACTGGAGTGAGGTGGTATCTCAGTGTAGTTTTCATTTGCATCTTGTTGATGATAAGTGAGGCTGAACATTTTTTCATGTATCTGTTGGCTGCTTGTATGTCTTCTTTAGAGAATTGTCTATTCATATATTTGTCTACTTTGTAATGGGACTGGTTTTTTTCCGCCCCCAGCACGTTTGAGTTCCTTGTAGATCCTAGATGTTAGGCCTTTGTCAGACATGGAGTTGGCAAATATTTTTTCCCAGTCTGTGGTCTGTCTCTCTGCTCTCTTGATGGTTTCTTTGGCTTTGCAGAAGTTTGTCACTTTGATAAGGTCTCACTTGTCTATCTTATCTCTTATGGCCTGGGCACTTGGGGTTTTGATCAGGAATTGGTTGCCAGTTCCAACTTCCATAAGGGTGTCTCCTGCATTTTCCAAGTTTCTTACGGTTTGAGCTTTTATGTTTAGGTCTCTGATCCATTTAGAGTTAATTTTTGTGTATGGGGATAGGAAGGGGTCCTGTTTCAATCTTCTGTATTGGTCAGCCAGTTTTCCCAGCATCATTTACTGAATAGGTTCTCCTCTCTCCAGTGGTTGGTGGTGGAGGCTTGGTCAAAGAGAAGTTGGTTGAGAAATTGAGGTTTTGCTTCAGGAGTCTCAATTCTGTTCCATTGGTCTATATGCCTGTTCTTGTACCAATACCAGGCTGTTTTGATTATTGTGGCTTTATAATGAAGTTTAAAGTCTGGGAGTGTGATACCTCCTGCTTTTATTTATTTATTTATTTATTTTGCTGAGGATTGTTTTGCAGTTTTTGGTCATTTATGTTTCCATATGAATTCCTATATTGTTGTTTCTAGGTCTGAGAAGAATGTTGCTGGTAATTTGATGGATATTGCATTAAATCTGAAGATTACCTTAGGTAGAATGGATATCTTAACAATGTTGATTCTTCCAGTTCATGAGCATGGAATATTTTTCCACTTGTTTGTGTCATCTTTGATTTCTTTGAGCAGTGTTTTGTAGTTTTCATTGTAAAGGTCTTTTACATGTCTGGTTAGGAAGATGCCAAGCTATTTCATTTTTTGTGGCTATTGTGGAAGGAATTGTGCTTTTTATTTGGGTTTCTGTTTGTTTATTATTGGTGTATAGAAATGTGATTGTCTTTTGCACATTATTTTATACCCTGAGACTTTGCCAAAGTCTTCTGTCAGTGCACGGAGGTTTTTGACAGATTCTCTTGGGTTTTCAAGGTATAGAATCATGTCATCTGCAAAGAGAGATAACTTGACTTCCTCTTTTCCTATTTGGATACACCTGATCGCCCTCTCTTC